AGAATAGAACAGAAAAAATAAAAATGAAAATCCTAAAAGCCTCTATGAAAATAAAAAAAGAAGAAAAATCGAATGCTGAATTTTTCGCTTTCCGGACAGATCTTTTCCTTCAACTATTGAGACATTTACCGCAATAATCGAATAAGTAATAGAAAGAACGTCTGCACTACCAATATAAATACATATATATTTATTGATATGCTATACAGACAATAAAAATTCGCGCATATACGAGCAAGACCTTGAGCGCCTATTTTTTTTACTGTTTTTCAAATCAATAAGTAAATAGCTTATAGTTGTCAACGAAAGTTTAGAAATAATTTATTAAATTTATTTAATTAAATTATTAAAATTATTTAATTAAATTTCAAAAGATAGGTGCCCTTATCCGACCATATATGTCGCGAATCTCTATTATTTAAAATTTTTAATTTAAAATTGGTTAAAAAGCAAACAACGTAATTAGCTCGTTCATAAATAATTCAAATCAATACGAGCGCATATTTAATGAGATACCAAATGTTCCTGTATCTTTTATACGAAATGATAATATTAAAAGTCAATCATAGCAATCACCTGCTTAGCTTTTTCTACAATTTGCTCCTGATTGTTCGTGATATCACAGGAAGTAATTATAGTAGTGGGTGTAGACAATTTAACGAGCTTAACAATTGGTTGAGGATTGCTGAGTGCAGTTGTCATAGGCGTTTTTGGGGTGGCGACAGTGGTTGACAACGAGGATTTCTCCACCACTGGATTCGTGACTGTAGTCACCGGTTTCGTATCCGCAACTGCTGATGTTCCACCTGAAACAATAATATAGTTTTAAAGTTGCTACAATAACAAATAATTTAAGTTATAGTATATAAGTCAAAATGTAAATCCAAGAGTTAAGTGCGACAATAGCGTATACATCGATAAATAATATAGTTGCTAAAAAACCAAACAATATATATTAATTTCTTAAAAACTATATTTTATTTTTGACTTAAAAATTTTAAACAATTGATATTTAATAATTTCCTTCTAAAGACATTTTTAAACCTATTTGCAAAAACACATTAACTTATAATATATATAAACAATATAGTAAACAATATCTTTAATCAATAATTTTTATTATTCTAATGCAATAAAATATCTAATAAAATTAATAAGATCTTGGTTGATTTATATAAAGTGACAATAACTCAAATTGTTGCTAATAATGAAATTAATTGATGTTAATGATAAGAATAAAATAAAAATAATAATTAAACTATTTTTAAAGTTACATTTTTATAAAGAAAATCTACAATATCTTTAAATTCTTTTTCTCAATACAGAAATATTTCAATACATTTAAATTAAAAATGATAGATTCAATACAAATAGTAAGTTTAATAGATGATAAATCTTTAATAACATAGTTTCACAGTACAGGCAAGAGATAATACCTATACGGTTAATAATAATAACTACCACAAAGCAAGAAAACACTTTCAAGTACGCCAATTAAAATAAATCGCTTCCATTTCCTGCGATGTAGATGTAGATATATATATATATATATATATATATATATATGTGTGTATGTATTATGTATATAAATAATGCATGTGCGCATATGTACATAATATAGCGAGATACATTGTTTCTTACCAAGCTTCAAATAAAAACATGCGTTTGCACTTGATAATGATCAGGTCAATTGCCAGATTATTATTGTAGTTTTATATGCAACATGTTATATTTTTTGATTATAGGGCTGGCATATAATAAATGTATGTATGTTGTTACAACAAAAAAAAATACTATTAATATTTGTATTTAGACGTTACATGAAATAATCCTGTTATATAATAAATAATTAATAGATGCATGTACATATCAGAAATATAACATATATAACAGAATATAACATATGAAAACATTATGCAATAAAGCATAATTTTAGAAATATCTTGTGTATAAATTTTATCAATTCTAATAATAATATATATATTTGGATAAAGAGAATTACATATTAAGACAATTTTTGAAAATTCAAAGAAATACAAAAAAAAGAATGATTTTAATAATTAATAATGATTAATAATAGTTAATATACAAGGCTAGTTATAGCCTACACCTACAGCTATTTTTGATTGTACTACGCGTCTTGCTTTTCGTGTTTTATCAATTTTAACAATATTTTTTATGTCATAAAGTCCATTAGAGATTTAAACTGAAAATTAAATATCAAAAATTTAATTTAAAATTTAAAAAATACAATTAATATTAATCAGAAATTTTTAGGAAAAATTCTAAGGAAAGAAAAAAATTTGAAATTCTTTATATAAAAAGAATTTCTTTATAAAATTTCTTTATAAAATTTCTTTATAAAAAAGAAAAGATTAGTCACTTTTCGCAAATTCTAGGATATGTTACATAGCTATTTTATCACTATTCAAGACAATAGTTCACAATACAAATAGTTCTTGGCGAACATGTCCTGATCATTGTTCCAATAGTCCAAGGTAAGAATACAAGATATATAATATGAAAGTGTATAACGCATTTACGATGAAATCAGGAAATTTGGAGCATCTAACTGCTCGGAAGCGAAACCAATATGGAACAGCTTAAAGACATGACGAAACGAACGGCAGGCGATCTGTAGTAATCACCTATAATGAGCGTGGGTGCTACGGTAGAAGCGGATGGAGGGTGAACGGTGACTGGCGAAGACTGGATCGCCGCTCGAAAGGCAAACACCATGCCATGGCGGCCTCCTTGAGGCCTACCTGGTATTTGTCCTAAGTACGCAAATGATCATTTATTCGGTATACAATAGCCGAACTTCAATTCGTGAATTAAATACAATTGAAAAAAGCTATGTATTCCTCATAAATTGAGAAAGTATTTTTTCAAGATGATATGCGAGTTCTAATGCAAGGCCTTAAATGTATTTAACATTATTCTTTTTATCGATTAATGCGCGACAGATATAATTTAAATACTCGTAGAATAACGATGACAATTCAAAGAAGGTAATCGTCATTAATTACAGACAATATATACATAAATAAAAAATATATACATAAAACATCAGAAACATAGATATAAGAGATATAGAATGATGATGAATTTAAAATTTCAAATGAAAAATTATTTACAAAGAATACATATTAAAATAAAAAATTTGGAATTGATTTATTTTTTAATCAAATTAATTTTTAATCCGTAGTGAATTAATATAACACTACGCAATAAATCAAATCATTCGTCTACAAATATACATATAGTTTTAATATTAAATATAATATTAAGAAACACACACACACATACACACACACACACACACACACACACACACACATACACACACACACACATACACACACACACACACACAA